TTTAAATTGTAGTCAGACTTTTTTTAAACCAAAGCAAAGAATATGAAGTGAGCAATGCTAAATTAGCTATATTGCCTGACAACAAAGTATAGCAGCCAAAAACAACAATTAAAAAATAATTATTGGGCTGGATGTGGTGGGGCACACCTATAGTCCCAGCACTCAAGGTGGGGAGGAGAGGAGGAACAGTCCAAGTAAATATTCCTGAGCTATTAAATGAGTACACATTTTTATTTCTTTAAAATATCATGCCTCAAGGAGAATGAATATATTGATACATACCACTTGATATGTGTGTAGGAGAAAAGAAATTCTAGAGTATAAAAGCATGTCAGGATTCTTTTTTTGGTGGTGATGGTAGTGGTACTGGGGTTTAAACTCAAGGCACTCTACCACTTGAGTCACTCTCTCAGCCCAGGTTTTATTTCTAAGATGTTTATCAAAAGTAAGGTATATTTTAGAAAAATACATTCTCTTTTAGAAAACAAACATTTCTGTAATCTTAAATACAACTTAAAATTTTAAAAAAGCAAACACTGTAAATAAAATTACTTTGGGAAACAATCATGTTAAATGCGTGTAAATCTCTACACATAACACTGAGAGCTGGAACTGCATTCATGCAAGTCGCGCACACATGTCAAGCAGAGACAGATGCTGTCTGAGCATGCACACAGCGGTATGTAGGCAGGCAGTACCGAACTGCAAAGATGACCATGCTACTTAACCTTACCATTAAGCTATCTTAATAATCATTAAGTAGTACACTGTAATTTAAGGCATTAGAAACACGACACTTAAAAAAAATTTTTTTTGGTAGGACTGAGATTTGCGCTCGGGGCTTTAAGTTTACAAAAGAGGCACTACTACTGCTTATTACCACCAGCCCTTATTTTACTTCTTTGTTAAAAAATTTATCAAGAGAAAGTTGAACAGTGCTTGTCCTCTGCTCCTTGTCATATAACTTATGATAGAATATCTACTCTATCCTTAGGGAATAGTTAGACACCTTTCTAAGTCTGAACCAGTTTGTGACATTCTGTCCTTTCCCTTTCAATGTCATGAAATATTTTCAGGGATCCCTTAAAGTGAAATTTCCTGAAATATCACTTTCCCTCCTCTTCATCCTTCTTGCATAGCAACTGCAACATTAATGTGGGAAGTTCAGTTTCACTAGGACCTCTGGCTATGTATCCACAGTCTCTTTAACGTGACAACGTTAGAAGTCCAGTCAGCTACTTCTGTGCTCCATTTATGTCCAATTTCAATTTCCCTTTCGGAGTTATTTTTGTTTGTTTGCACTTTCCTTTTTGCCAGGTTTGTAAATCTTCAGTTAATATACTGTGGTAACTAGAATTTAAACTGTGTTGTTGAGGATTTCTGTTAACTAAACCAGGTAACTAAAATATGTGCATACAGAAATTGGACAAGGAGAGGACTGCCTGGAATATATGTACATATTTGAGGTACACACACACTCACATGTGACTACATGCAAAAAAGAAAACTTTTTTCTACAGAAAAAAAGAAATGAAATGAGTAGGACCTCAAAAGTATCTAATTTGGGGGGAGGGGCTGGGAGGTTTGCTGGGGCTCAAACCAGGGCCTTGTGCATGCTAGGCAAGAGTGCTACCAATGAGCTATCTCCCCAGCCTTTATTTCTCTACAGAGAATATGAAATTAAAATCTGGGTGTTGAATGCATGTACTATTTTGTTTGTCCTTTCATCTCCATGAGAAATTTACAATTCCAGAATTTCATCATTTTAAAAAACAAAGACCAATAAAATACATGAGTATTTTAAAAAATAGTTTTTATGGCTAAGTAGAAGGTAGAATAACCTTGTTTTATAGATTGCTTAATTATTAGGCTTAAAAGAAATCTAATAAGCATTCATTGTATTCTGAACCTCCTTTAGATTCTGCAATTAATTACTGCTTCCAGTTCTTACCTGAATATCAGTCAAGTGCAACATTGTCTTCTTATAAGAAAGGACATCAAAATCAGTTGCTTTCCAGATTACATGATTGAAAAATTCACCTATTTTCGTCTTTTTGGTAATGACAATAAGATAATTACCTGCAAAAGCATAGCCAAACACACAAATATAAAAAAATGCAAAAATGTGGCTAGGTATGTAGCCCAGTAGTACAGCCTGTACTTAGCATGTACCCTGGGTTCAAACTCTAACACCACAAAAAATACCAAAACTATACTGTATTACTCAAATTAAAGGCCCTTGTGTGTATGTGTTTGTGTGTGTGAGTGTGTGTCTGGTACTAGGGTTTGAACTCAAGGCCTCACACTTGCTAGGTAGGCACTCTACCACTTGAGCCATTCCGTCAGCCCAAAGGGCCCATCTTGTAAAGCAATCTTATAATCTGTGAATACAAAGACTAGCATACTATTTAGAAAAACACCTACTGAAAAGTCAAATATTTTTCTCAAAAAGATAAAAGCAAGACCTTTTGGTAACCAAATGTGCAACCTTAGCAGGTAAGAAAGCAAAAACAGAAAATACTTCTCTCTCCTGTGACCCCAAGCTACACAGGCACCACATGCAACTTGAAGCATCATAAGTGGGGTAACGCCCTTTCATACCACTCTGTGCTTTACTGCACTCTGAATGGTAGACAGATGTACTGGGGCAATGTAACTGTGTGCACTGTTACAAGGATTAGTGCTCAGGAATTAACAAGGCATCACAACCCCATGCACAATACAGCACCCCTGACCCTGGCCACCTCCTCCCCACACCATGTTAACAACAGAACCTAGAACTTCGCACATGCTAGGCAAGCACTCTACCAATGAACTACTTCCCCCACCCCCATTTCATTCTTAAGGTTTAAAGTCGTAGAGTGTTTGCCTAGCCAGTGGGAGTCCCTGAGTTCAACCCCCAGTACTCCCAAGTAAAATAGAATTTCAGGGTGAAAAATTTAATCAATTGGGGAATATTATTGTTAGAAACTAATGACAAATACCTAACTTTGAGATTTATTATCTAAAGCATGATATGAATTATAGTTTTCTCATACCAAACGTATGAGAACTTTTCTCATATTAAATGATGCCAATTTAATAACCTTCTTTGTCCATTTTGGTTTATTTTCTCTTACCTGCCACCAGATGGATTGTACCCAATATACCAAATATTGGTCTTGTGACAGCTGAAGGAGGAACATCTTTCTTGACTTTAAAATAAGAAAAAGAAATAAAGAAGTAAAAATCACATAGAAAAAGCTGAAAACTTAGTATGATTTCAGGTTACTTCAACTAAATCAGTTTGCATGATGTGACTTATGAAAGCAACATTGCTTCATTAATGTCAGACCTCCATTTTGGCAGAATATAAATAAAGATGTCAAGAGGCATACACAGTAAAAAAAGGCCTCTTCCTATCTAGTGTATGGTCATCAAGTCAACTGTGGGTTATTTCTACTGCTACTTTTCAACCTCAACGGAAAGTAAGTACTTAAGTAAAAGTAAGTAATGGTTTGAGAAAAAATTTTAATCCTGACATGCAACTAACAGAATGCAAAAAAAGGATCTGCCAACCCACATCTAAGAATGTGGGAAGTGGAGGCAAAGACCCTTGGGATGAAGACGACGGTGTGCATCCTGTGTCTAGCAGCAATTTACACAGATGAGCAAGGAGGCATCATCTTTAACCTGGATTTTATCAATGATGTCCTTATTAATAAAATAGTGTCTTACGGAATTCATTTCACAGTTCTTAAACTTTCAACCCATGTATTTCACAAAACATACTTTGTAAAACTCTAATTTAAAAAATAATGCCTCGGCGGGGGAGAAGAGTCCCCAGTCAAATAAGCTTATTTTGCTTCATCTAAAGTCACCCCATTCCCTCTCCTCCTTCTCAGAGGCTCTCAGAAGAATACAGTGAGAGAAATCCATTCAACTGTTTAATCCAAGGTTTCCCACACATATGTGGCTAGGAAATTTTTCTTTCAGTTATAGCTTGTTATCATCATGAAGCCCGTTTTAGAAACACTGCTATAAAACCAAGACCTGCTTCTCAAAGGCAGTCACAGAAGTTATTCTGTTATTCTCAATAACTAATTCTGAAAAAGATCTAAAATTTGCTTGTGTCATTGTCAATTTACTTAGCAATGCTAAACCAATTAACTAACGTGAAAAACAGGACTGAGCTGGATGTGGTGATGCAGACCTGTAACCCCAGCATTCAAGGGGTAAAGGCAGGAGGATCTTGAGTTCAAGGCCAGAATGGACCCCTTGCCTAGTAAGTGTGAGGCCCTGAGTGCAATCCAGTACCAACACAAAAGTTGAGTTTGGGATACACAGCAAGACCCTTTTAAAAAAAGATCTTTAAAAAACAAAGAAAGAATGCCTGAGCAGTGGACAGTTAAGAGAAAATTCTAAATATACCGAGATTATTTGAAAAACTCAAATGTACCACTGACAGAATAATAAATTTTATTAACTGGAGTGTAATACAAAACTGCAGTAATTCCTAGACTGTATGTTAGTTTTTTTATGGAAGAAAAAATCATCCTTCTGTGGCCACAGTCTGCATTCCTAATGGAGAAAAGAAACTGGCTAAGAAGCTGTCAGTAAGTCTGACCCTCATCATCACTGACTTTGGCCACAGCACTTCACCACGTGTCTGCTGCGGACCGCACGGTACCATCACCTTTATAGCTAAATACTCTTTGATCTTTAGCTTTTTCATCTACTCAAATGGGTCTGAGATCTCCACTTCCAAATGAAATGTCACTGAATGGTCAAAAACAACTGAAAATACATCCATACTAAAGCTCTTATAAAACCTTTGCTTGCATTGGTGTGGTATAAAGAAGTAGTAATGTAAAGCAGTAGTGCAATGAAACCTTAGCAGAAGTATACTAACATTGCTTAAAACCAACCTGCTATCTTGAGACAACAGCTACCAAGTCACAGACAATAGGAAATGTCATATTATCAAACTAAACCAAGCTCTAATTCCAGTTGATCAAAGGAACACTGTATGGTACTTACCAAAATAACCAAACAAAAAAAATGTAGTTTTTCTTATACTTTATTAACTCACTGAAAATATTTTTATATTTTCCTTTTTCCATTCAAAGAGCACTTACTAAATGACTACTCTATGGTTTTTCAAATATTTTATTAAGAAAAAAACAGTTGAGGCCATGGCTCAGGTGATAGAGCGCCACTCTAGCAAGTGCAACTGCAAGGCTCTGAGTTCAAACACCAGTATCATCCAAAAAAAAAAACCAAAAAAACAATTTAGAACTCTTGTCTGGAGATGAATTAGAATTTTTATACTAACGAACTGTGAAATTCCAATGTAATATCAAATGGTACATTAATTTGTCAACAAAATGACTTCATATTAACCTATTCAGAAATCAGAGTGCTTCATATAATTGATGAAAAAATTATTTTTTCACTCCCAGAGAAGCAAAACCAAAACACAACTAAATAGGTACATAAAGTTTTAGGAACATCATTTGCTTAGAATGCTTACAAATTTTAGTCAGTGAAATACATTTTATTTTTCATTTATGAAATTATTCTCATAGTCATAAAACTTTTGGGAAGTTGTTGTTATTTTTTAGCTTTTGTTTTTTGAGATAAGGTCTCACTATGTAGCCCAGGCTGGCCTCAAACTCATGATTCTATTGCCTCAGCCTCCCAAATATTGGGATTACAGGCATGCACCACCTCAACTGGTCATAAAACTTTTTAAAACAAAAACAAAAGCACCTGTTAAAGGTCTTTACACTTAAAGTCCAAACAATGTTTTCACACTCAAACACCTCAAATCTTAGATCAAAAAAGGAGCTTAGATAGTTAAACCAAACCTGTGAGAATCAGGAAATAAATAAATAATTGTTTTAAAATCCTTACTGCTAGTATAATAATACCTAGATTTTTCAAGGTAACTTCTCCTTTTCATAAAAAGAATGTAGCGTAAAATTAATGCATAAAAATTAAATGAGGTGGCTCAAGTGGTAAAGCACCCGCCTAGCAAGTGTGAGGCCCTGAGTTCAAATCCAAGGACCACCAAAAATAAAGAAAGAAAGAAGTAAGGTAGGCCCAGTGGTGTACACCTGTAATCCCAACACTCAGAAGGCAGGAGGGATCATGAGTTTGTGACTACATGGCAAAATCCTGTTTCAAAAAATAAAATTAAATGAGGTCGAAAAAAGTAAAATTCTAGTAAGAAGGCACTCATAGATCTACATACTGACATACCCTTCAAGTAATTTGATTATTGTAATCACATATAAAATCTTCCTCAGATACTTCTCAATCTGGCATTACGATACCTGCGAGTGTAACCTCTGTGGATACACGGTCAATGGTAAGTACATCATCTGCTCCATCATCACAAGCTTCCACATAAAATTTTTCAGGTGTAATATGCCTAGAAAAGAAATTGAAAGGCATAAATTAACCAGATGAAGACTTTTAAAAAATAAACTATCATAACAATTACAGCAAGGTTATAATGTGACATCATTTTCCTAGCTTCTAATAGATGAACCTGGTAAGTCTGCTATCCTTTTCACTTGTATAATTAATGCTGGTAAGTTTTAATTTGCTATAAAACCATCACTTTGGCAAGTTCCATTTCAAAGCAGCACTGAACCTGCTGAATAGAAACTATGAGCAAAACTCACCCTCCCAAACTAAAGAAATTTAAGGACAAAAAGCTATCACTGAAATTAAATGGTGGCAGACATGCCCAAAGAATATTGTGGGGACCTGATCCCTTTATGAACCTTGCAATAGGTGAATGTGTAGAGAGGGCAGCTAGTGGGCAACCCAACAATACTGGAATGGTGGTGATGTGAGGAAATGCTATCAGCATGTTGAAAGCCTTGGAAGAGAGTTTAAGTAATGGTTGTTTAGCAAAGAAATCTATGTCCCCTCTCCAAACAGCCTGTTTTACTATAAAGTAAAATTGGGTCACATATATTTTTATATTAATTTTTTTATTAAATAAACTTTTGTAGTAGTATTAAAAAACACATCAGTTTGACTTGAAAAAGAAACTCTTCAGTCTGGGGATGTAACTCAGTGTAGAACACTTGTCTAGCATGCACAAAGCTCTGGGTTTGATCCTCAGCAACACACACACACACACACACACACACACACACACACATACACACACAAGGAAGTTGATTTTTTTAGCCAGACGTACTGGTATGTACCTGTAATTCCACTACTTGGGAGGCAGAGGCAGGAGGGCTGATTGTCACAGGCCAGCCTGGACTACAAAGCGAAGAAGGAGGGGGGAAAGGAGAAAGGAGGAAAGGAGGAAAGGAAGAAAGGGAGGAGGAAGGAAGGAAATAATAATCAAACCTAACTTAGTATATTCAACATCATGCAGAAAGCAACACAGCATAGCAACACCACAGTATAAAGAACTAAACCACCTATGTTGTACAACCTTAGACCAGTCACTCATCCTTTTCTGTTCCTCCCTAGTCCCTTAAAAGAATAATAGCAGATTCATCACAAAGTACTATTGTACCAATTAAATGAACTAGGGTTTGGTAAGCACTTAGTACTTAGTAAGCAAGAGATTAGGGGCTGGGAAGGGGCAAAAATACTAAGAAATGCATTTTTAATAAAACATTTCCAAGAAATTATTTAAAATAAATTAACATTCAAAAATTTTTAGTTAGAAAGCCTCACATACATGCTCTTGGAAAAAACCTCATATGTAAAAAATACAATGCAATAAAATGAAATAAAGTGGATAAAATGGGATTGCAATACACTAGTCAAAACTTAGTCAGCTTTGTAACCAGACTCTAATAAAAATGAAGTTGGTTCCCAAAGAGATAACTTGGACAGTTCCAGCAAGCAACTCAGTTAAGGACTGACTCAAGATGTGGGGAAAATGAACAGCAACGTTAAAGTAAAAACGCAGCCTTGCGGGCACTAAGCAATCCAGATGCAGCAGAACTCTAAGCCATTGACTGAGACTGCTGTTACTCTGGGCTCATCCCACCAACTTACTTTCTCCTAAACCTAATCATTATTGCTCATAAACCAGATCTGAAAGAACCTGCACCTGTGCAGCAGCCAACGTGAGCACTTTTTCCTTTCTGCTGAATTGTGCTCCCACTGTTCTGACTCATGTAGTCCATGGAAAATCTTACACAAAACCCACACAACCATCACTGATATCATTTCCTATTTACCAATAGTAAGTTACTTGGTGTTGTAGAACTGTGTCCTATAGCGGAACACACTGTACTTGCACTGTACTGTTTGATTATGCTAAGAAAAGTCATTTTCAAGCAAAATACTGTTCAACAAAGAAGGAAAATTTGCTTCAAGCATGGCAGTCTTCAATTTAACCTAAATGTAATGATCCATTCCCTTTTATTGTTAAATATATTCCATTATACAATATGCCACAATTTGTTCACTCATTTGTTGATGGCTACTTGGGTTGTTTCTGGTTGTGGGGGGGGGGGAGGGGGGGGGGGGGGGGGGGGGGGGGGGGGGGGGGGGGGGGGGGGGGGGGGGGGGGGGGGGGGGGGGGGGGGGGGGGGGGGGGGGGGGGGGGGGGGGGGGGGGGGGTGGGGGGGGGGGGGGGGGGGGGGGGGGGGGGGGGGGGGGGGGGGGGGGGGGGGGGGGGGGGGGGGGGGGGGGGGGGGGGGGGGGGGGGGGGGGGGGGGGGGGGGGGGGGGGGGGGGGGGGGGGGGGGGGGGGGGGGGGGGGGGGGGGGGGGGGGGGGGGGGGGGGGGGGGGGGGGGGGGGGGGGGGGGGGGGGGGGGGGGGGGGGGGGGGGGGGGGGGGGGGGGGGGGGGGGGGGGGGGGGGGGGGGGGGGGGGGGGGGGGGGCGCGCGCGCGGGGCGGGGGGGGGGGGGGGGGGGGGGGGGGGGGGGGGGGGGGGGGGGGGGGGGGGGGGGGGGGGGGGGGGGGGGGGGGGGGGGGGGGGGGGGGGGGGGGGGGGGGGGGGGGGGGGGGGGGGGGGGGGGGGGGGGGGGGGGGGGGGGGGGGGGGGGGGGGGGGGGGGGGGGGGGGGGGGGGGGGGGGGGGGGGGGGGGGGGGGGGGGGGGGGGGGGGGGGGGGGGGGGGGGGGGGGGGGGGGGGGGGGGGGGGGGGGGGGGGGGGGGGGGGGGGGGGGGGGGGGGGGGGGGGGGGGGGGGGGGGGGGGGGGGGGGGGGGGGGGGGGGGGGGGGGGGGGGGGGGGGGGGGCGGGGGGGGGGGGGGGGGGGGGGGGGGGGGGGGGGGGGGGGGGGGGGGGGGGGGGGGGGGGGGGGGGGGGGGGGGGGGGGGGGGGGTGGGGGGGGGGGGGGGGGGGGGGGGGGGGGGGGGGGGGGGGGGGGGGGGGGGGGGGGGGGGGGGGGGGGGGGGGGGGGGGGGGGGGGGGGGGGGGGGGGGGGGGGGGGGGGGGGGGGGGGGGGGGGGGGGGGGGGGGGGGGGGGGGGGGGGGGTGGGGGGGGGGGGGGGGGGGGGGGGGGGGGGGGGGGGGGGGGGGGGGGGGGGGGGGGGGGGGGGGGGGGGGGGGGGGGGGGGGGGGGGGGGGGGGGGGGGGGGGGGGGGGGGGGGGGGGGGGGGGGGGGGGGGGGGGGGGGGGGGGGGGGGGGGGGGGGGGGGGGGGGGGGGGGGGGGGGGGGGGGGGGGGGGGGGGGGGGGGGGGGGGGGGGGGGGGGGGGGGGGGGGGGGGGGGGGGGGGGGGGGGGGGGGGGGGGGGGGGGGGGGGGGGGGGGGGGGCAAAACATTCAATATTTTACTGAAAATATGTAATGTCATGTTTCAGACAGCAAGAAAACACATATTTGAAATAATTCTACAGGTCTAAAATGATAGACCTAATATAACTTGTTTCTATTATATACATCCTTTTATGTCATTTATCTAACATATTGCATTTCTACTGTTTATACTTTGAAAGCATTCAGCACTATTTCATGGTGTTTAAAGTACAACTTATTCCTTTGATTTCTATAGCTTTAACATTTGTGAAATAATTTACACATTTTAGCTATTTGTTTTGAAGGGCCAATCTTGTGAAATTTGTGGGACAGGTAGTTATTTTCCTATTTACAGAAGATAAGTAGACTCTCAGAGGTCAATGAGTCAGTTGTTCAAGGTCACCAGCTAACTTGTGGCAGAGAAAGGGCCTCAATACTATTGTTAGGATTCTGAATACAGGAGTCTTCTCAAGATTGTAGCTAAGCCAAAGGAATTCCTGGAAATGGGTTCAGTTCATGTGCATTGAGGATCAGGTATTCATCTACCACATCAGAGGTTTAATTCTAATGAGGCAACATTCCAAAAGAAAAACCAATGTTGGTAATATCCTGCTCTGCCTGTCAATGAAACATCAACATAGTCCCAGAACTGACTGACTGAGTCAGAGCCATGGCTAATTCTACAAAGAGCTCATTGGAATTGCTCCTGACTCTGCACACATGAACCAACTGTCGGACTTGATCCTCTGTGTGTGGTGGTCACCAGGATGACCTTAGGAAATACTGTCCTTGGGATCACCTCCTGCAAACATGATTCAGGGAGTCCTCTCTTGACCTTCAGGATGCAAAGACCAAAACTTACCTTGCCATCCTAAAATCAAACTGCCCCTGCTGTGGATCTGTTCTTTTGCATTCTGCATACCTCCCATGAAGCATCCCCACTGCAAGGCCACATTCCAACACCTCAGCCCTCTGCTTGCATTCCTGGGGGAGGGGCTTGGGCTTCACATGCCACATGATTCATACCAGAGGAGTATGTTTTCATTATCTGAAGCTAAACAGATTAATATACATTTATGAAACCCATTTGTTTCCTGAAAATTTGGCTCAAGAGGATTTTAATAATCCCTCCAGATAGAAGCTTAAATAACCATCAGCAGTGTCTGTGGGTCAGTAAGACAGAGAAAAAAGAAATGCTGTCAAACCAACAGAGCTTTCTCTATTTTGGTTTGGGGGCTCTCTTGAAACAGCTGCACCCTGTCACATTTTTAGCTAAACGAGTAGCCCTCATGTGCTTTCTTGTTGAGGCACAGAATTGCATACTCTAAGCAGACAGAATGTGCTTAAAAGTGGTAATGAGGCTTGATGTCAGAACTTGCTAATTTCCAGTTGCTTAGAAGATGCAGTGAGGTAATGACATGTTCCCATGGGCTCCTTCTACAAAGAACAGGCTTTGTAGAAATCTGCACTGAAGTCGGTGGCGGTGGGGGGGAGTGGGGATGAGGAAAAGGAAAATGGGAAAATACAAGCAAGATATCATTTAAACTTCACTCTGAAATTTCAATATTTTTGACCTATTAAATCCTTCAAGATTTTTTATCTTTTTTTGACAAGGTGATCCATAAGAAAGCTAAATAACTGATTTATTGGAAGAAAGTATCATATATATCTGACACGACCGCAGTCTCT